AGAGAAGTAGCCTTGACTGTGAATTGCAGTGACTGAGTTTTACCTCCAGGTGGCCCCACTGGAGCGGGGCTGAGTGAATAGGTAAAAGTACTTGGTAGTTGTGAGGGATCCCAGAGCCTGTTGGAGGCGCCTGAAGGTGGTGCCACCTACTGGACATACTGAGGCGATGCTGGAGGAGAGCCAGCTGACGAGCCAGAACCAGCAGGAAGGATAAAAAGGACAGGAAGACGAAAAGAGGGATGAGGAGGAAAAAGCAGGAAGAGAGCAGAGGAGAAGGAAGAGAACGAAGATGAAGAGGAGAGGCGAGGGAAGAGGTGGAGAACGAAGAGAGGGAGGTATATAAGGGCAGCAGATAGAAAAGAAGGGGAGGAGTAGGAGAAAGGGAGAAGAAGAGGAAGAAGAGAGGACGAAGGAGGGAAAACAAGGGGGAGCAAAAAGGGGAGCAAATGGAGGCAACAGGAACAAGAAAAAAGGAGATTGAGGAGGAGAGTAAAATGTCACAGGAATGTGTGTGGAAGAGGAAAAAGAGGAAAAAGTAAGGTAGCAGGAAGGAGGTGGAAATGAGGAGTCAGTAGCAAAAACCAGACAAGAATCACACAAAGTTAAAAAGAAAAACTGTTAAGTTAAAAAATAATCATCACCTTTATAAACACAAGAATGCCTTATTCTGAAACAGTGACACACACACAGGGCTTTAAAAAAAATGTTTTTCTGAATTCTCCTGAAGTTTGTGAATTAAAAATATGACATTTGTCTTTGTTTACTAGTAGGTTAGATATACAGTGGTATGAGTGTATTGCTTTCTGCAACGACCCTCGTTACAGGTATGCAGCCTCTTTGAGGCTAAATACCAGAACTTCCCAGTAGTCAGTCAGAACTTAAGAAGCCTCTTGGATGTGAGGTGAAACGTCTTATAAAGAACCTACTCCGTCCAGTTGCCCTCGATGTAGCTACTTTAGATAAAGTAGATAGTTATTACATTATTTAAGTATATAATTACCCTTTACCAACCTCCCCCACACTGTTTTCAAGCCCCCCTAGACTGTTTTACCCTTTATAATGTAAATATAAGACATACATAAATAAATTAAAATCACATTGTGGGGGCATGGTAGGCAGGTAGACAGGTAAGCGCTTAGCTGCAGGAGCTGCAGCCCCGGTCACAGGTGAGCACAATTCGAGTAATCAAGCCTCTCCTTGTATTAGTAGGAGCCGGGACCAAGGACAGAGGAGAGTGAACAGAGGAGTGCATACTGGCCAAGATGGACGAACCATATATAAAAGCCTGGCACCGCACAGGAGTGCACATTATTGTAAAGAAAAATAAAGGCTGTTAATTGTAAATTGTGTCAGCGTCTACATTTGGGTTTAGTAACAGAAGCCTGAGAAGATGCAGAGCGTTTAGGAGGCATTGTGGGGCATTAAATGTGGGCTAACTTTCACCAAACACAAAAGCACAAACTTTACAATGAGCAGTCAGTAGCCAGCAGTGGGGAGGTGGGCGGGGTCAGCACAGGAGGTATCATGGGTGTTTTTCTTACCTTGACCTGAGGAGACTGGAGCCTCTGGTACATTTCCAGAGAGTAGTGATGTAGCCACATCTCCACAAACATCTAAGGAGGAGAGGAACAAAGACCAAACATTTCATATATTTACCTTTTGTCAGTTCTGGCCAATTCTTTGAGTCACATTTTTCCTTAGGTTTAAAAATTTCAAGGACTAACCTCAACTGAAGTTTTAATAAAAGTTTAAGTCCATAGTTTTTTTATTTTTGGTTTTCTGTGACAGTTTTGGCATCATATGTCCATCTTTGCCAGACTGTCACCAGATGTTAGTGGTGCCCTTCTTATTAGCTAGTGTTATGGAGGCATGTTCTTTCTTTCCGATTTGACAGGCCTGCTGTCTCCCGCTGACAGGTCGCTCTTCCAGGTTTGTGGCAGCATATACGCTCCTTCATCAGGTTAATAATCCTGCGTGCATTTTTTTTTTCTTATTTGCACCGCCTCCAAAACCCATAATTGAAATCGGTTTTCCTCTGGCTACCTCACAATTCATTAGGTGGTTTTGTCATTAACAGTGGTCTAAAATGGCTGATTTTAGGGTTTACTTATGTGCTTTCCCCTTTTCTGATCTTGTGTATCTTTGTTTCTTTCACACATCCATTCTGGTGCTCATTTTCAGATGTTTGAAAGTACCCCCACCCCAAGTATAATTGTGTATTTATAGTATAATTATAATTATAATTTAAGAGTGGCAGGGCATTACTTATATGACATTGCATTTATTTACCAGTTGTATCTTGTCCTTAAGATGTGCTACTAACTGTCAGAGCTTTTTCTATGGTTAGCGGTTGTTGGTGTTGTATTTTTTTATGGCTTGTTGGATGGTATTATGGCTTGCATTCAGGATGTGAATCCTTTGATTTATGGTAGTGTGACAAAGTCCCGGTTCCTCCTCTTCTGTTTGTTGTTGTCCTTCGTTTATCTGAAAATGCTATTGCTTCATCCATTTCCTATTTCATGTTTAAATTTGACGTTTCATGTCAGAAAATGATAAACAGTGCACACGGGACGATGAACCGGGACGAGGGAACACACATGCACAAAGTGCCACCGAAATGTGACAATCCCACATGCACAAAGTGCCACCGAAATGTGAAATGTGTGATCTTATAAATGAAGAAGTATCAGGCCAAAAATGCCACATCTAAATGGCTATAAACTTGTGTTAAAATTTAGAGATTTTGTTTGTCAGCATTTAAAATGTATCTTCCCATCAACAGTCCGTAGGTGGATCAGCATATTAGGGCTGGCTGAATAATCGAAATTTGATTTTGATTACGATTTTGGCTTCCCACGATCATGAAAACAAGACAATCGATATAAAACAATGATTGTGCCAATTGTGTGATGTCAATGAAAGTGGATCTGTGGCACAGTGTAGTGACGTCACAGAAGGCCCCTCGTGGAGATACAGTCGTCCCCATGTAAAAAAATGCATTTGTGAATCTGGTCAGCTCCAGACGAGTCTCAAAAATCCACAAACAAATGCAGGGAGTTAAAAATTAAAAGCATGTTATAAATGTGTGTACATTGGTGGTTTTTAGTTTTGCTGTCAGTTAATGTCTGTAAAAAATTAATGGGGAAAAAAGGTAGGCTTATACATGTGAGTTTTTGTTGCTTTTTTCCCCCCAATTGTACTGAACCATGACCCCCATACCGAGGTACATACCGAACTGTGACTTGTGTGTACGTTACACCCCTACTGTATAGTAGGGGTGGGGAGAGGGGGATTGATTCATGTAAGAATAACGATTCTAATGATCTAAGATTCTTACATTTCAAAAATTGATTATGTATTAACGTTCGCTTTGTCTCTTTGCGCACCCTCACGGAGTTCCGTATGTACTTCCAGCACACACCTCACACCAGTAACAAATTTTTGTCAGACAAATGATACGAGTTCTTTGGGAAGAGAATCTGCTGCAGTGGATTTAAAGAGAGTGAAATAAAACACAAAGCAGCTAGAAGAAAAGAGAAGAGCTATAGAGACATGCTGACCTGCAGCAGCGTCTCCGACCGCCAGATCTCCTGAGCTGACGGCTCCACATTCACTGAGGGCTGGTGGAAGATGTGATGTTTGAGGAGACTGGAGTTGTGAATGCTATGACCAGGAAAAGAGACGCCAGATGACCTGAAGGAAGAGAGAGGAGAACCAGGAGGGGTTAAAAGGAAAGAATTCAGGTTCGTTTCTATCAATCCAGGCATCAGGTGTGAGCACCTGTCAACATAACAGGGTCACTTAAAGTGCTCAACACAAAGGTATTTGAAGGTGTCTACAGAGTTTATGGAGTCAGACCTGGGTGAAGAAGCTGCGACTGAGCCTCTGGAGTCATAGAGAGGGGCAGGAGGAGGAGGAACATTTCCTTCACAGGGCAAAAAGTACTTCAGGTATGAATCCACCAGGACAAAGTAGGCACTGTCTGTGGTGCTGAAGTGTTGGCCTGGAGGACAGTTCTGAGGAACAAGAGTCAGACTTGCTGTTCATATCACTGTTATCATCATCATCATTATTATTACTGTCAATATGAGACAAACTCACCCTTGGTTTGATGAGGCAGGAGGCAAAGTGAAACATGTAAAACTCAAAAGGATCTGCAAGAAGGTTGAGGAGGCTTGTCTACTGTGACACGTAGTGATGTGAGAAGATACATGAGTGAACATAAAGGAAGGATACTCAGAGCCAGTGTTAGGCTCAAGGCTCCAGTCAGAGGAAGGAGCAGCTTGTTGTGGAACAGAGGACAGTCAGGCTGGACCCCTTCCTGGATACAGGCCTTTATTGGAGCCTGGAACAATGGGGGGTTGGGGACAGAGCGGGGAGGGAAACCGAAAATGAGATAGATAGAAAGTGAGTGTAAGAGAAAGGAAGGGAGAGACAGTGTTAGCTAAAATTACAGGTTGGATTGATGGTCTTTGGTATAGGGGAATCGTTCTTACAGGGAGATGAATGACAGGGATTTCAAATTTGAATTCTTCTGCCTGGAGTTTGTAGACTAGCTTCATCATTGGTCCACTGAAAAAGAAACAGTTCCAGTCACTTGACCACAAAAAGATCAAAATAAAGATAAATGCAAGTTAAAGGAAAAAATATTCGGGCTCATTTAGATTAGATTAGGGCGGGTAGGTGAGTATTTAGATAAGTAGATAGATTTTTATTAATCCCTCAGGGGTTCCCTTTGGGAAATTTAGGAATTTAGTACCTGGGACTGAGAAAGTCCAGGACAATATTGTAGTCACTGCTTCTGTGGGTGAGCAGTCGAAGGTTCCAGCCAATGATGGTTCCATCCAAACTTCCAAACACAGACTCCAGCAGCCACGGGAAGATAAGCTGAAGTTCCTGGACAAAGATGGCATAAACACAAAAACATCAATGATAGCTTCAAACCCAGCTGAGAGTGCATTCAACTGAGGTGAAATCTGACAGGATTTTCTTTGAAAATGAAAAATTGTAAAAAAAAAAAAAAAAAAAAAAAAGAGCTTCAAACTTCACTCAAATCATGATGGAACTTTCCAGACAAAATTTAATATTCATTCTTTCTCTTTTTCATCTATTTTGTTCTTCTCACACCTTCATTCTCTCTTTTTTATCCATTTTGTTCCTCTGACATCTTGGGAGGTTTTCTAGCTAATACCATATTTTATAATCAAATCTGTGGAAACTTCTAGAAACCTTTCATGGTGGTGACAGGTTGATTGTTGAGGCCAAACGTGATGTTTGCAAATTACATTGCCATCTGTGGTGAGAGTAGGGAGGAAGCGGAAGAAATCCTAGAGAGGTGGAGGTTTTGTTGGGAGCGAAGAGGAACGAAGTTCAGTAGTTTAAGACAAAATATGTGTGTAGAAAAGAGTGGAGCAAAGAAGATAGAAGGAGTAGAGGAGGTTGGTGAAGGTGAAGTTTAAATACTGAAGGTAAACCATTCAGAGTAATAGACAGTGAACAAGAGAAGTGAAAAAAGGTTGTAATTTTCATGGAATGAATGGAGACAAGTGTCAGAAGTGAACTGTGCCGGAGCACAAGAGCAGCAAGGTGTCAACAGACAGTGAGACCTGCTGTGATGTCTGGTCTTAAGACAATGCCTCTGTCTAGAAGACAGCTTAAGGACAGCTGAGCTGGAGGAGGAAATAAAGATCGCTGAGATCTTCATTGGGAGTGTGAATGTTAGAGAGGTGAGATGGACACAGATTGGACGTAAGCTGAGAAGCAGGGGTGGAGATGCTGGACAGAGGATGTTGGAGATGGAGCACCGGGGGAAACTGATGGATGTGGTGATGGAGGAGATGGTGAAGGTTGGTGTAATAAATGGTAGGAGATAAGATAGACAAGATAGATAAGAGGATGAAAAAAGCTCAAACAAAACAGCTCATTTTCTTGTATGGGGTATGTTCTTTCTCAAGTGTAGAAGCATTTCTATGACAAGACCTGTGATCGCTATCTACTGCAGTTCTAGAGAGATGCTCTAGATGGACAGTTAAGAGAGAAAAATGCTCTGAGCAGGACACTGAGAACTTTGGCTTAAAAATGCTCTCGTCACCAATTCTTTTTGAAGTGTTTCCCATTGATTGTCAACAATCTCATTTGACCATAAAAATAATAATAAACAGTATTTTACAATCTCTAATCTCTGTCAGTCAGCCCATTCCACAGCTGTAGTTTCTAACCCTAGAGTAAACCTATTTCCCGAAAGGAGTTATTAAAGTTCTATCTATATATCTATACTTCGTATTAACATTATTTTTCTTTACTACATTATAATTTCTTAGGTGAAGTGGGAGTTTTTTATCAAATCATCAATATATTTGATAACAATTTAATCAAGGATTGCAGCACTTTACGTTCACCCCTATATTAACAATTAAAAGGTTTTAGTCTTTTTTTTAAACTACATTTAAAATTTTTCTATGGCAACAGCTATGCTTGTTATACATTTTATTGGCAAACATAAAATGTAGTCGGTGCTGTGACTTCAAACAGAGTAAACATAGTAAACACACCTTTGCAGGATATTCATCGATGATCTTCACCAGGTCTTGACATCGCTGTAGCAGTGGCTTGATGCAGATATCCGCTTTCAGGTTCGCCTACGAAATAAAAATATATCTGAAACACAACCCTTAAAAGTTAAGGTGTAAAAATAATGCAGGAAAAAATATAAAGTTTACCAGAAGAAAACTAGGTTGTTGTAAAGTTGCTGCAGCCATGAAGGAACCTCAATTCAGGCTCCGGCCTACACTGAGGACGTTAAATTGTGCGTTTTACAATAACAATAATAGAAACGAACAATGCCACAAAATCAACACAAAATTAGACCTACTGTTATCTTTAAAATAAAGATACCGTATCAGCTATTAGCAAAACTAGCAGCTAGCATGGCGGTTTGCTAACATGTTTGAAAAGTTAAGCGTGACGAACTGAACGACAAAACTGATGGAACACATTAATGCGTCAAAAACAAACATAAAGCTATAATTAAAAAAGAGCTTTGATAATACATATACCTTTTTTTGTTTAAGAAGGACTGAGGACTGAAAAAAGAAACTCCAAAACAAACCGCGCTTGCCACCGGAACTAAAATGTGTGTGGACACTGCGTGCGAGGGGTTCCGGTTTCTCGCGCGTCATCTGTGACTGTGTCAGAAATCGCCTCCTACCGGGAAATCCAAAATATCGGAGTACGGAGCAGCTTTTGTAGGTTCTCTCAAGACAGTATAGTTTTTTTTGTCCCCAAATTAGTGAATTTCCTTGCGACAACCCCCAACCCACATTAGGAATTTACCCTGTATACTTCTATTTAACAACAATCTTCGGAAAATATGTAATGTATAACTTTTTTACGTTTTTTGGAGTGCGACGTGAATCTTAAATTACAGAACACAACTAGAGCTTTCTTCCAAAAACAAGTTGGAGTTAGCCCTTTTCATACACCAACTAAAAGTCCAAACCCCCTCAAAAATTAAGGGGGGTTATATCAGTAAGGATAAAAATATATAAACGCTGCCATCCTACATGCAGTTCGGGCTTCACTGTGAAAGTGAATTAACAGACTGCAAAGTTTTGGTAAACACAACACCGCAGCTGCTTCTTGTTTGGGATGAGAACCATACTGGATGAAGTTTGGAAAAAAGAAATCAAATGATGAATGAGTGTGTAATGAGGGAAGATTGCTCCAAAGAAGACCAGGAGGATCGCTCCAAGTTGTTAATCAATCTAATTCATTACCTTGATGTGGATCCCAATTGATTAGGTTGATATTGCTGCACAGGTACAGTGAGGTAGTTTGAAAATTCTATGAATGTTCAGATTGTTGCAATTCATTTTCTTTGTACACACTTGCTATCTAGTGAATGTTTTCTTTTCTTTTGTTTAACGGTACGGAACTAAAGAACAATTTAATATGTAAGGCAACATTTCTTTTTTTTTGCAAGGGACTCATTCTGTAGATGCACACATTCATTTCCGGAAAGAACAATCGGGAGAGTATGTTTTCTTCATTCATGGGACTTCACATTCAGTTGAAGTAATGATTCCGTTTAACAGGTTTTCTGGAAATGTAATTAACCATGTAAATGACAACAATGGAAACTGGGTGATGGTTCTGATTGAGTTTAATGAGGTTAATTATACTTTGGTTTGTGTATATAACAGAAGGACACAAAACAGACAACTTTATTCTTCCTTGAGTAAGAAGTGATCTATTCTACTGACAATGTCATAGGAGGAGGTGATTTTAATTTGGTCCCTGACCTCTGAATGTATTGTCTTCCTCCAAAAGGGCAAAGCCATTACTTTGAGGAGATCATAAGCGATATGATAACTAAAGGAAGCTAATAAACTATTAAAGAATGATACAAATGAATACACTTGGTATAATTCATCTAACTATGGTCAGTGCTCAAGATAAGAGTTTTGGCTGATATCTACCAACCTGATTAATGAGGCCCATAAATGTGAACTATTCGCATCACCCATAACTGTTTACGTAAGTGGCATTAAATCTATCCCTAAATTGTCATGGAATTTTAATAGAAGTGTTCTGGGCAATAAGGTGTTATGCAATGTAACCAAAAACATGTTAAAATAAATAATGCATTTAAAAATGTCACCCTTAAATAAATTGGAGTGCTTTACATTCAGAATTAAACAATTTATCATTAAAATAAGTAAATACATTTCTAAAGCTAAAGCAATAGAACATCAAAACATTATTAAAAAACCTGAATAGATTATGTTAAATTAAATAAACTGCTAAACCAATTGGACTATTAATATCTCAAAAAAGCGAAGGCACCATTTTTACATTGGAGAACCCGCTGGCTCGAGGACGGTGTAAAAAAAAAGACAATCAATAGGTTACTTTTACATTAACGAGAAAATACGACAGTTTTATAATAGGCTGTGTACATCCAAATTGTCAATGGATGATTGTCCAATTCATTTTTGAAAAAAAAAAAATAGATTGTAACAAGATAATTGATGAAAACTTAAGGGAACACATGGGTGGATGTCCAAAGGAAAGTCACCAGGCTTGGATGGGAGGGTTAACAGTGGAATTTCTATATCCACTTTCAGCCTTTGAGAAAGGTAGAAGTCCATCCATCCATCCATTTGCATTCGCTTATCCGTTAGGCAGCTGTCATACCAAACTGTGATGCAGTATGTCAGCAGGTTCTTATGGAGGAGCGGTAGAAGGTCAGCAGAAGGTTGGTGTTGAAGTTGTGCTTCCTGAGGACTCTCAGGAAGTGCATGCGCTGCTGAGCCTTCTTGGTGATGGAGTTTTCTGACCAGGAGATGTCGGCGGAGATGTGGAAATCTAGAAACCTGGAAAACCCTCTCCACGCGCTCGTCGTTGATATAGAGGAGGGCTGGGTCGATGCTGTGCTTCCTGAAGTCAATTATGATCTCTCTGGTCTTCTTGGTGTTTAGAGACAGGTTGTTCTCCAAAGACCAGGCTGCCAACTTTAAGATCTCCTCCCTGTAGGCCACCTCGTCCCCCATGGAGTCCGACCACTGTAGTATCATCGGCAAACTTGATGATGTGGTTGTCGCTGTGGACCGGACTGCAGTCGTGAGTGTAGAGACAGTACAGGAGAGGGCTCAGCACACAGACCTGTGGGGTGCCGACGCTCAGTGTGTGGATGGGGGCCGAGACTGGGGCAGAGACTGTCCAGTTTATTGCAGAGTCTGTCTGGGATTATGGGGTTAAAGGCGGAACTGTAATCCACAAAGAGCATCCGGACGTAGCTCTGCTGCTGATCTAGGTGGTTCAGTGCAGAATGGAGAGCTACGGCAATGGCGTCCTCCATGGATCTGTTTGCCCAATATGCAAACTGGTGGGGGTCGAGGTCTGGGGGGAGATGGTCCTTGATGTGCTGAAGAACTAGTCTCTCAAAGCACTTCATGATAACTGGAGTGAGGGCCACCGGTCGGTAATCGCTCAGGCGGGTGATGGGGGACTTCCTTGGTACTTGGATTATTGTGTTTGATTTTAGGCAGGGTGGGATGATTGCCTGGGTCAGGGAAAAATTGAGGATGTTGGTAAGGGTGGGGGGCGAGCTGGTGGGCACACGCTCTGAGCACCTTACCGGGTACTCCGTCTGGGCCAGCAGCCTTCTTGGGGTTCACTGCCAGGAGCACCCGTCTGACTTCATGCGCCGGTAAAGGGAGTGGAGTGGTGCAGGAGCCAGATGGGGCTGGGGGTGAGGGCAGGGCTGGAGCAACTTTAGGGATAAGACAGCTATCTTTTTAAAAGATAAATCAGTGGTTGCTAAAAATCCTCAGTGCTATGTCAATCTGTCTTTCTAAAAACGTAATTAGAAGAGAATACGCAAATATTTCTAACCGTATTGAAGAAATCGTTCAGTCCCTGATTAACTAGAGACCTTACTATTTTTGGTAGAGTCATTCTGTCCAAAGCAGAAGGTATTTCCAAACTGATTTATTCGTTTCACTTCTTATATATTTCCTCTAAAAACACAAATAAGGCTAACACAGTTATCTTCCAGTTCTCGTGGATAAATAAAATTCAATGAATTTAAAGGTCTCAGCTTGCGAAGGGGTATTAAATGGTGGTGTAAAAGCTCCAGAATTTGAATCCATGATTGGCACCTATAAAATTAATAAATAAATCTTGTCTGTCACAGTCCAACGCCATGTGGTACCTCATTCTAAGTTCCTTGTTTGGCAAGTGAGGAGGTTTAGACCTTTAATAAAGCTATTGAATTTTCATAAGCAGATTTTTTATTTCTGGAAAATGATATTTACCAAAATTTTTCTTCTCATAACTCAACCTTATGGAACAATAGAGTAGTAACACTCAAAAGTCAATCTTCAAAAGAAGAATGGTTTGAAAAAGACATAACTTATATCACAGACCTAATGGATGGTAACGTTATCATTTTAAGTTTCACAGACATAACACAAAAAATATAATTTAAACTGTTCTCTGTGAGAACTAATTATGTGAACTAATTCCACTCCCTCCCATCCAAAACGGATCGTGTCTCCCTATCTAGATGTCAATACCCACAAGCAGTTGCATGTGTGATCTCGACAAAGCAGAAGGACAAACTTTTTCAGGTGATTTTGTCCTCCAAGCAGGTGAGGGATGGTGTATGCATGCTATTGCTATTGCATATCTGCTCTTCCAGACAACATGGGTATTCCACAAATGTGCAACTTCCTACAGTTCTTCCTATGTTGAAAGCAAAAATGTCATGGGCAGAATTGTCACTTACATGTATAGGATTTTTGACAGCTGCAGTATAGGGCCTACTGGCTGTGTAGCCTTACTGTCATGGTGAAAAGAAAAGGGCACCATAGCAATGTGTTGAGAACAACATGCACAATGGTGAATTGTAACGTGTTTCAGAGAAGTGTTTATGCCACTGTCATGGGTTAAATGGGTGTCGTTTGTTCACAGAGCATGTGAGAGTTTTTGACCGGAAGATGGCGGTGTGTTTCCACCGCCATAGTGTCGCGAGAGATACAAAACAATTTTATTATTGTAACCGTTATAATCCATTTAACCAAGACAGACATAATGTTTGGTTGTATAAACAGGTGAAACCTTGATATGAACAGCAAAAAATACAAGATGAAACATGCATCTGACATACCTGGATGATGGCAAGGCAACTAAACAATACAAGCTCCTTGTCTAAGAGGTCTCCAGAGAAACAGTCTTTGTCTTTTAGTTTCTGGAAACGATTCATCCAGTACTGGGCATGATGTCTTCTCAAATAGTCCCACTAGCTTTTAATACGTTGGCTGTGATTACTGGACCCAGAGATCTAACAGTTGCCAACGATACAGTGATCCGTACTCCATCGTTAGAACCTCTGCATTTCTGCCATTGTGACATTTTCTGTCCCCAAGTCTGCATGAATTCTGGACGGTGTCCCCATCCTCCTCTCAACTTCATTCATAAAATACCCAGCGATGATCTTAGGATTGTTACTGATTGTTGAATAGGCAAGTAGCCATATCATGAGTCTTGAAAACAAAACCACTGCTCCATTTATACACACTCCAAATGGCTTTGGTTTGTCGTATGAGTCAACATGCCACATAAAATTAAGCCCAGGGTTAAAGTACATGCGCTGCATCAAACAATTTTTCCATCTCTGTTCAACACCACGGGGGTCAAGAAACTTTAACAAATGCCTCACTGTACTTTGGGTGACAATGTACCCAGCTTGGATGCATTTGAGATGGTGGAACTTGTATCCATGGAGCCTTCCGTGCTCCTCCAGTTAATCAATGAGGAACAACACCACCCCAAGAGGGTTGGATTCGTACTTTCTTCGGTACAACCCCATGCATTTTAAAATCCTTCTTAAAGTACGCATACTAATATACAGTAAATCTCATCGACTGGGCCCAATAATTGCAAAATTTCACCATGTCTCAAGCCAAGCATGAAGTAAAATTTAACATATTCTCCGGTCCGGACAGACCACGGCCACGGAATCTACACGAAGAAACAGAGATTCCAACACTACACGGCAGGGCTCCCAGGAGAATTGGGTGAAGAATCTGTCTGACAGAATCCCCACGTAGCCAGAAAAGGACCAGGTCTTGGCCAAAGGGCTGAACTTTGCTGTCTCTCCTGCGCACATCCCCACTGTGGATCTCATCACAGCCACTGAGACAGCCATCAGAAACAACCGATTGAACACCACGGAAGCCAAACAGCTCAGGTTGAAGGTCACCGCGGCTCTCTCCAGTGCTAAACCTCCCCCTTCGAACCTGTCCCTCTCTGAGAGAAAATCACTGGCAGCACTCCAAAAAGACCCAGACGTCACCATCCTTCCAGCAGACAAGGGTAGGTGCACAGTTGTTTTAAACACAACGGACGACCACGCTAAGGTCAAAACACTTCACCCACATACAAAGCACTCTTAGGAACAATACCCGAAAGATTCTCCTCAGTTTCACATAACAAAGAGGCAGGTGACCAAAACCTTTCTGATGAGGACCACAACAACCCGTCAGACTCTTAACGACTCTTAACACTTTCCCAGTTGACCCCAAGGCCCCACCCAACAGGTGGGGCCTTGGGGTCAACTTCAGTTCTAACTGAAGAACCCCTCATACCTCAGTTAGAACTGAAGAATGAGGGGTGAAACGTCTTCTTTTAGAAAATTCACATCCAGTTGCCTAACAGAACTCTTAATCCTTGACCATAACATGGATGACTGAGAATCTTGAAAGTGTTTCATTCTCAGTGAGTGATTCATCCGCAGAGTGATTTGTGAGTCATTCTCGAACCGCACATTACTAAGTGGATGACATTCGGATTAATCCGTCCAACACAGCTGACATGGCTCGGCTCAGAGCACCCACTGGGACACCCCGGACCGATTGACCAACTCCCACTGGAATGCACTTGTTGTCAGGAACCCTAGGGTGGTCAGCCTAAGGGCTGCAGCTCTGCGCCAGTGACACTTGCCCTGGTAAATGAAATCGTCTTATCGGCCAATTATCGTCATTCCCAAGTAAATCCTCACGTTCCCTGAAAACTCGCTCCCGTCTCATTGCGTGGTCCTGTCCCATTAGCGTGGACTTCTAACAATGCTAACGTTGCCATTTCTTTATACATTGTGCATGCTTTTATATCCACCAACATAATTGAAAACATTTGTGTTAATTTTGTGTCTCTCTGATGTGCACATCACTCTGATGACTACTTGTTTTTTACATTTCCCAGCATCACCTTTAAGAGTCACCAAAGGCACGAGTATAATTCACAGTTATGACCATGAATGACCTTTAATGACCTCCAATTGTCATCAAAGATTATATCTCACAATTACGACCCTTAATGACCTTCAGCAACCATTTATGATTTTCATTGAACATTGATGACCTTCACTGACGTCCAATCACCATCCAATGTCCATCACTGACCTTCTGTGACCATCGATTCAGAAGTCCTTTATAATTTAGAAGTCCTTTATCAATTAATATTTACTTTATCATTGTATGATTATAAAGATATAGTTATGGTTTGTACATGGTTTGTTTGTCAATACCTTACTTATAATATTGTTATTAAGTGTAAAAAAAAAGATGGTTTTAACAAACAGGTGCAGTACTGCCCTCTGCAGGATAAATCTGGAACCCAGGTGGACCTCAGTATTTTTCTTGTTGAGGTTTCCTGGCTTGTCCTTTGAAGTGTTTGATGATGTCACTGATTTTGGAGTGTCATAGGTTTCAGTTTTAAAGGATGTTGACACATCCTGGAACACAGCAGGAACAACTGAAGCCACCACCACAATGGAGGGAAACATGAACTGTGAGGTTTTATACATCTGTGAACGTAAGCAGAACATCTGTAAAACTTTATTGGCTGGTACTGAACCTGCATCAACACATCTGCGTTGATCAGCTTCATTTTTTTATTTTTACTCTCAAACATGGTAGACCGTGGCGACGGGCCACATGTTGGCAGAAACCAGCCGCCCTTCTTCATTCTACCAAACGGAGATCGACCCACAGCCACGCAGCTCCCCAACAGTGATATTGCTCTCCTGAACCAGCTGTGGAACCTGGGCATTGATCCATTTGCTTACTTCCAGCAGATGATCATCATGCAGCAGGATGACAACATCTTTGTCGACGGCGAGAACAATGGCAACAACCGGGGTACTAATGAGGACTCTGATAGTTCTGAGGACCAAGAGGAAAACTTCGTCTTTGGTGAAAGTCTTGACCAGCTCTTCAGCAGATCTGACTCCGTCTTCTTCAACTCACTGCCATTTCTTCTTCTCTTTCTGCTATTGGCATTACTGGCATTAATTTTTTTAGATCTCTGTTGTTTATGTCTCTATGCTCCACACCTGTTCCCATGGGGATGTCCTGCAGAAGCTCTGGGTCGTTTTGAGACTCTGTACTTACTCTGTCAAGCCAGGTGATAAGTTCCACTGGTTTCTTCTAGTTTCTTCTTCATAATCAAAAAAATATATTTGTAATAAAAGAATGTTATAATATCAAAAATCAGTGATTTTAGCTTAGAACAAAGTCCATACGCTTTGGCTCAAAAGCAATGTCTCTGTCACCTGGGAAATCCCATCGAATCCCAGTTAGAGAGGTTGGCTCCACCCGCAGAAAGATTCACAAGGGGCTCGTGCGGTGCAGAGTGATTTGAGTTGCGATCGTGAACACTGCTGCCCCTGCGACCCGGTAACTGATAAGAGGACGAAGATGAATGGATGGGTGGACAAAGTCCATAGAGAAAATCAGTGATTTTAACTCACAGGCCAAAGTCCATAGAGAGAAATCAGTGATTTTACCTGGAAAGGGACACTACTTTTACAATGCTAACTCCTGATGGTGGTAAATCTAAAGGATTTTATACAGTAAATATAGAAAATGACAAGTTTGAACTGCTGTGTCCTTGTGATCTGAATGTTCAGAAATTCATAAAAAAATGAGAAAGAAATCAAGTACATAAATCGAGTTAAATGTTAAAAATTTGATAATGTGGCAGTGGTAGCTTAGTGGTTAAGAAAGTGGACTTGGGTCTGCAAGGCACTGTTAGCACATGCTGCTCCTTTGGCACTTGAGCCAACTCACTATGGTCATGGGCAAAACAAAGGTCACTACCTATTTATGGAACGTTGTGCAATGGTTATAAAAACTGAAACAGAAAAGAAAGAGCCTTTGTGCAAGTCAGAAGGAACGGTAGAACAAGGACAACAAGGACTGCCCTTAAGCTATCACTCAAATTTTAGCTAGTGCTGGTGAAGATGAAAGCTGATGCTGATTAACAGTCCATGTTGAACCATTTGAGAAGAACCTTCTTAGAAAAGGGGCATGCTGACAATAGTGATCATGACACACACAGCAAGGAGAATGACTGGCTGAGCTGTCGGCATGAACTTGCTGTCTGTTTAAACACACAACCACACAGTTAAAAAACAAAAAATGGAAAAGAATATTTTCAAATATTTCTGATCAGTCTTTTAAATTCTTTATTTACAGTAAGTTGCTGGAAACATAAACAAAACAGTAGACTTTCCTTAAACATAATTTATTTTTATTTTTTTACAATAAAACAGAGCTTAGATCCACCGAGGACACAAGAAGTGATATCACATGAGTTTTTGAGTGGATGTCCGTGGCTATGACATGAAGCAAACAATAAAATGGTTTGGTTTCAGATCCATGGAAGATCAGCTTCTGTTGTTTGAGATGTTTGTCCTGCAACAACAATGAGCATGTCTGATCTGAGACACTGCTGTCTCTGCTGTGGATGTCGAGCTCTGTGTGGGTAATGGTTTGAGACAGCAGCTCCCTCTGGTGGAAATTTTATTTGGGTCTGTAGGCGATCTTCCTGCTCTTCAGCACAGACCAGCGATGTCTCTTCATGTAGTAGAGGAGGGGGGTGATAAGGGCTGTGCCCAGCAGCAGCTTATCACACGCACGCACACACACACAAACACACACAGTGTTGTTAGTGGTAGTTTTTCCACATCAGTGTAAAGTTTGTCTCTCTGATGTCATACCTTGAGTCCCATGCGTTTGCGTTGGTCGTGCTCTGGCTCGGCAGCCCACCTAAGAAACGTGCAAACATCCTTAGCCACTTGACTCATGGTGGCAGGAGTTCCTGTGGAGTTAGAAAAGTAAACGAGTGAACATTCAAGTCTAAGTAGAAGTATATATATATATATATATATACACACATATAACTACACTTCAAAAGTTTGGGTTCACTGTACTTGTGTTTGAAGTGTGTTTTTTTTTTCAAAGAAGATGACTTGAATCAGATATTGTTATAGTCTACACATTCTATACATTGCTAATGTGTTGACTGCAACTGCTGGTTTTGTAAGGAATATCTACATAGGTGTGTGGAGGCCCCTTTCAAGCAATCATTACTTCAGTGTGCTAATGGTATATATTGTGTTAGCTAATGACAATAGAAGGCTATTGGATGAGGGTGATAGAAAACCCTTGTACAATTATGTTAGCACAGCAGAAAACAGATCTACTGGTTAGAGAAGTTATAAAATTAGCATTGCGTTGAGCTAGTCAAGTATCTGAAACATCACCTTTGTACGTTCAATTATACTCCGGTGCTAGAAAAACGGCACTCACAAGTGAAACTCGACAGTCTTTTTGTGTCCATTCTATGTGAGAAACAGCCAGGAAACATAAGATTTCCTACAACGGTGTGTACTATTGTCTTCAGAGAATAGCACAAACTAACTCTTGGCTCTAACTAGAGAAGAAAGAGAAATAGGAGGCCCCAGTGCACAACTGAGCAAGAGTTCATTAGAGTCTTGTTTGAAAAATAGGCACCTCACAGGTCCTCAACTGACAGTATCCTTAAATGGTACCTGGAAAATGCCAATGTCAATATCTACAGTGAATAAGTGACTTTCGGATGCTGGTCTTCCACGTAGAATGGCTTAAAAAAATAGCTGTATCTGAGACTGGCTAATAAATGGAAAGGATTAATATGGGTGATTTGAAGTTTGTTGGCTCTGAGACTGGCTAATAAATGGAAAGGAGTAATATGGGTGATTTGAAGTTTGAGGTGTTGGATCACACAGAAGAATATTTGTAAGACGCAGAACAAGTTAAGAGATGCTGGAAGAGTGCCTGACACCATCTGTCAAGCATGATGGAGGTAATGTGATGCTTTGGGGATATTTTGGTGCTGGTAAAAAGGGAGCTCTGTACAAGGTTTGAAATAAGTAAGGCTATCACTCCATTTTGCAACACCATGCCATATCCTGTTCCTGCCTGATTGGAACCAATTTCATCTTACAACAGGACAATGATCCAAAGCACACCTCCAAAATTTTGCAAAATACTATTTAGGGAGAAAGCAGACGGTTATTGTGTCTGTAATTGAGTGGCCAGCGAAGTCACCTGATCTCAACCCCATTGTGCTGTTGAGGAAGCAGCTTGAATGTACAGTATGTTACGCTAGACGTAACCATCAAGTCAATCCAAGTTGTAGGAGGCGCTTCAGGAAGTGTCGAGTGACATTTCTTCAAAATACCTCAACAAATGAACAGTTAGGTTTGCTGCAAAGGGAGTATTTTTTAAGAAAATCAAAGTTTGAAGGGGAAAATTATTATTTCAAATAAAAAGTAATTTCTAATCTTGTCAATGTCTTGACTAATATATATACGTATATATACACGATATTTATTTTTTTATCATGTTTACTGCACAACATTTCAAACTGTGAAGTAGTGCAGTGGGCTTAACGTCCGCTGCCTCACAGTGAGAGAGTCAAGGGTTTGATGTGTGGTCTAAAAGATCACAGAATGGACATGAACGTTGCCTCACCATCATCGTACTCCAGGATTTCATTGTAGATAGGTGGAGCCATTCCAATGGCCTGTCCTGGGAAGTAGGGGTTGTAGTAGAGTCCTTCTCTGACTTCGACACCAGCAGGGGGCTCACAGTATCCTGTTAGCAGACTGAAGACATAATCCTCCCCTCCATGTCTGACAGGACAGGTGACAGAGGTCAGGTGTGAGCTTTACTGCTGTACCTGTGGTTGTTCAACTTTATGTGTAATCAATTTTTAGGGCGGCGTTACCGGGCATTGACGATGTAGCTGAGGTCTGGAGGCAGAGCTCCATTGTTGGCTGCTCTGGCAGCTTCGGGGTTTGAATACGGTTTTGGAAAGTAATCGGACAACTTTCCTGGACGCGTGAACATCTCTCCACTCTCATCAGGTCCGTCAACCACCTCAATCTGAAAAACATCACATGATTACTAAAAACCAATCCTGTTATGTCATGTTGTCCAGTGGTTTTTATTAGCATGCATCAGACATCAGTAGGTACATAGGTAAGTACTACTGACATCTAGGACTAGGAGCAAAACAAAAGGTATGTGGTACCAAGCCTCAGGATCTTGGCACCATGTGCCTCCTGAAATCTGTCTCATTATTTTTCACTTATCTGTTTTCAAAAAACTAAGTATTTTTTTTAAGTTTCTGACCTGGAAAAATAAATGCACAAAGACAGAAACGGAATGACTTTCTGAAAAGTGTCAGTCAGGGTGAAATCAAAAACTGTGGACTAATAGAGAACATGATGGCTGACTGACCTATACTTGAGCTCTAATAATAAAAAAAGGAACAAAACTAAGGTTGACCTCCTCTGCCAGGGCCTTGACCTCGGCCTCTGTGTGTGACACTCCCACCAGGTTCCTGAAGGCCAGGTACTCCATGCTGTGACAGGCTGAACACACCTGCTTATAAACCTGGTAACCACGACGCACACTGCAACACACAGACAAACACAGAGTTAGTGTCACGTGTGTCACACTCTGACATTACCACTGCTGTAGGAATGGTCACCTGGCATGGTCCAGAGAGGACAGAGGTCCAGCATGACTCCAGGGATACTGAGGCGGGTGAAGCTCCAAGTCAGAGGCCCTTACCGACTGTTGCAGCATTAGAGCCAGTCCTGCTCCGCCAGCAGACACCACAGCCACTGTAGCCGCAGCAACTTGCTTTGACCGTGACAGGGAGGAGAAAGACATGTTGGCCTGAGGAGACAAAGGCACAGGTATGAATGTCTGAGAAAGACGCACAAGACTGAAAGGAATCCGGAGAGGAGAGAATAACCAAACAAAATATGTAACCGGAAATAGATATTTTTCACCGGAAATCAGTGCAGTCCTTGAAACGCTAACTGGACAGCATTGTGCATAAAGGTCTCACCACAACTAGTTTTAGTTGTACCCGTAAAATTAATAATCTTATGACAATGTATACAATTAGCTACAAACTCACAGGGAACTGAACATAAATGATTTACTTCTGAAAAGGTACCGAGTTTCGTGATATGCGTAAGCTAACCGGCTAAGTATTGTCGTCCACTAAAACCTAATCATAACCTAAGTTATAATTTAAAAACGGCTAACAATTTAAATTTAAAGTTATGATGTGATTACACTTACAATCCGCCTCATTTTCAAATACTGCCTTAAACAAGTAGGACTGCCGGTGACCTTGCGTCACCCCGCAGCATCGCTGAAGCTAACATGGCAGCACTTCTTAAGAACGAATACCTTTAAGACAAAACGTTTTTTTAATTTATTTACATAATCACATTTTCTCGTGCGTTCATTTAATTCCGCCGCTTGACTGACGTACCCTTGACGTGTGAACAATTCTGGGGGTGCTGAGCAGAGCTCTCCCGCTGCCGGCTTGCACAACTGCCCGTAACGCCGCCATCTTGTCCGCTGTTGCTCGTATACAGTGAAAGTCGGGAGCTGCTGTAGTTGCACCCGGAAATGAATAGAAATTCCGGCTACAATCTTTTCATATTAAAGAAGAATTAAAGGGTTGATTCCATCTACAGTGTTTTGGGACGTTCTAAAGTTCTAAAATTCGACAACAGTTCAGATCACAAAAGCGTAAACTCTCAATTGTTACATTGTTTTTGTTATTGTTTTAGCTCGCCTTTGTTCTGAAATTAACAATTTATAACCGGAAGTTGAAATATACGTCGATTAGAAGAACAGGTAATTTGCCCTTGTCCTTAAATCGCCTTTTAAGTAAAATCGTTCATCTGACGCATTAGCACTATTGTATAAGTTATTCATCAATCGCTATAAAGCAAAGCTAAAAAGTATCTCCAAACAGTGGCCGAAGATGAAACATGTACGCAAAAAGGGCTATTGTAGCTTAGCCGTGGCGACAAGCTTAAAGTAGTTAGACGCTAACTAAAGTCTGACCATAGAAACGTCTTATATGTGGTCACGTCGTCCACGTTTCTTCTGCTTTTTTCACTTATTAATGAAGACTTGATTTGTCTTTGTGATAGTCTGGTGGACCTGCAGTTATGTGAAGGCTGTACTGATTGTCTGCAAACAATAGCAACTTTTTAATCCATCAATAAATCAGATGTTCAAAAAATTAACTCTGTAGTTTGACATTTGTTGTGTGGTGAAGCCAATTGTGTCACACAGTAAAAACCTTTAGATATTCTGAGTTCATAATTACGTTGTGGAATGTGATGGTTCCCTCTGTTTTTAAAATAAAACAATTTTGTTGTTTGGAGCCTTTAAACATCAATCACTGACAAACAAAACTAGTAGAAAAAGCACTTTATTATCAAACACACACAATCAAACAATCTTCAGACAAACATTCTGTTTAACGTTGTAAACGTTAAAAAGCAGATATTTACAGCATCGGGAGGAGAAACAGAAAGAGGCCCCTGTTCCTAAAACTGTTGCAGGATATGTTTCTTCTTTGAGTCAAAGGTGAACTTGTTAGAGGTAAAGAGGTCACTGCTGTAGAAGTTGGAGAGGTTATGAATGTTGATCTGCCTCGCCTGGATGAGGAGGAGGGGTAAAGTTAGGATGTGGTTCCATTTTTATTTTTTTTACAAACCTAAGCTCAGACCTGGACCTGGTTCTTACCTTGTCTTGCAGCTCCTTTTCAGGAACCTCAATGGTGTCCTGTTGGAGTCCGTATCGGTTCCTCTGGTAGTTGAGCCGCTCTGACACCAGCTGTTTAAGGAGAAACAGCAGCAGTTCGTTGTTGTCCCGGCGGAAGGACAAAAACCTAGCAAAAGTCTAGACAGAAAACAGTGTCAGTGTCAGTGTTTGTGGGATTGATAGTGTGCGCGTGTGTGTGTGTGTAAGTAGCTGCTCTCACCTTCCTCATGCTCCTCATCACACTGAACTTTTGTGTGTTGATGAAGCTCTCCAACATGACTCTGATGGCCATGTTCACGTCCTCTTCTAGGACGTAGTCCCTCAGGTGGATCTTGGCGTGGGCCTCAGCCATACGTATCATGGACTCGATGTGACGGACGGTGATGGGAATACTGCCTGTAGCCTGTGTACCAGAAAGTTAATGTGTCAGAATACCATTGAGAAGAACTAGTTGGACAGGATAAGCACAGGAGAAGTAGGTTTGGCCAATCAGCAGTCCAATGATGTGCTGGTAAAGATCACATGACCAATATATGGTTGGTTCCATAGCGTAGCAGTTAGCACGCCTGCCTCTGAAGTAAGAACCAGCAGCAGAGATTGATGGACTTTAATGTATGGACGTGTCCAGGCAGAGACAGTCAGACAGACTGATAGCCAGTCAAACAGACAGAGGACTAACCATGGACTCTTTCCTCAGGTCACTGTAGATCTGAGCCACTTTGTCCTGGTCCATCTGGTTCAGTTTAGGATGCATCTGAGGAAAACAAACAAGATGTTTAAAAAAACAGATTATTTTATAAGTGACTTTAAAAACAAATACTTTATAATTCATTGCCTCAGAAAATAATTTAGCAGGAAAATGTAATTATATTAAGGATCTCTTTAAGTTTTTCCAGGACCAAGTTTGAATTATAGTTGTCTGGATTTTTGCCTACCCTTTCTTTGGCATAGATGATGTATTTCCTGAGAAGTTCCTGTGGAACCGGAGGAACATCTGAGGAGTTGGGGAGGAGTAGCTCCTCCAAGGCGGCAAGGCTCTCCTCTTTTTGACCAGGATGGTGTTTGATGTGGGAGCCCACCACAAAACGAGCCAGCATCTCATCCTGGAAACAGACCAACAAGACTAATGAGACCATGGAAAAAAAGAAAAAAAAAACAACTACGAACAACTATTTTAACTATTTTAAATTTTAACTAAAATTGCCCTAGTTGTTGTACGGTTCGGTTGATTTCGTTTACTAAACAAGCCAACAATATCAGGCGGTATTTGCCAGTATTTCTTCCACTGTGCTATTTTCTTTATTCTATAAATCACCATGGGACCTAAAAAAGCTCATGAAAGGCAGAAAGAAAAATTGTTAGAATGACAATAGAAGTGAAAATAGATTATACAAATGAGAAAGAATAGCGCTCGTGTTTCAGATCTGGCTTTACAGTTAGTCGTCGATTAGTACCGAGTAAAAGAAGCTAAGGTTGCCAAAGGAGTTACTGATCACCAAGCAAAGGTCTCAAACATTAGAAGTGGAAAAGTTGCTTCTGATTTGGAATAAAGACGTTAGCTTGAGTTTTCAAACCTTTCGGTTCACGATTGGCCTTCAGGAACAAATTAATTAAAAAAAAAAAAAAAAAAAAAGAGGTTCCACTGTAGTTCAGTTAAAACATCTCATCACCTGAACTGGGTCAACTGTGTCTCTCACAACACACAGGACATCAAACCGGGACACAATGGGTTCAGTCAGATCAACATTCTCAGAGAAGGTCAGCGAGGGGTCGTAGCGGCCACCTGAAAGAAGACAACCCAAACCCTTTAAAAACATGAACGTAAACCCTTCTCAGAGCCATGTGCTTAGTGGCATCAGTACCAATTGGATTAGAAGCTGCAATGACGGTGCAGCGAGCCTGCAGCGAGGTAACGATTCCAGCCTTGGAGATGGAGATGCTCTGTTGTTCCATGGCCTCATGGATACTGGTCCTGTCAGCGTCATTCATCTAGACCACCCAGAAACACGGGCAAGGTCAGGTTTTGGTTTGGTTCGTTCTAGTTCTGTTCCTGAGAATCTTGATTCCCCCCTTACCTTATCAAACTCATCAATAAGACAAACTCCACGATCAGCCAGAACCAGAGCTCCAGCCTCCAGCGTCCACTCTCGACTGACGGGATGCCTCTGAACATAAGCTGTCAAACCTACGGCCGATGCGCCTTGACCCGTGGTGAACACAGCACGACTGGACACCTTCTCCACGTACCTGCACCCATGTTACAAAAGTCTGGTTCAGGTTCTTTACAGGCTGAGGTTCTCACCTGGCATTCTTTACTTGGAGCTAATCCCCACAGGTCATTCAGTACATACTTGAGAAACTGAGACTTGGCAGTTCCTGGGTCTCCACATAAGAGAACATTAATGTCTCCACGGACCTTGTGTTTTCCACCTGGAACAGAGAGATGTCAGTAAACCAGAAGAAGGTCCAAGGACAAGCCTGCATCAGCCTGCATCTTACTGACATTTGGTCTGAGTTCTCACCTGGGTTCTTAGGTTCTCCTCCAAACAGGGCCAGGGCCAAAGCTCTCTTGATGTCCTCATGTCCGTAGATAGACGGAGCCATGCTGGCAAAGATCTGCAAAACAGACCAGAGCAATGAATCTCAGAGTTAGTGCAGGGACCAGGACTGAACACCAGACCTTGGACTAAGGAGCTGGCTTCTTTACAAACTAAGACCAGTAAAGATCTTAAGCGTACTGCAGTACAATCAATATTTCTGAAGTCAACTTCTTGTACAAGCTCTTAGTTCAAACAAAAATGTAAAGCAACTTTCACTGTTTTCTACATTCAAGTCATTCTTTAGCTATTTTTTAGCTAACACTTAGCAATAATTTAAGCAAAATCATACTTCTTTTTTTGCTAGCTTGAATGTTTTGCATAGTTTTTATGTTTGACTCTCAGGTCCTACTTTCTCAACAACGTTAAGATTTCTGCCGACATTCGCTCACCCTCTCTCCTACACGCTCATCCTTGGAAAGAGCCACTATGGCTTTGACGTCCTCATCTGTCAGCTCGTCCACTGCCACTCCCTCATCCCTCCGGCTGATGTGATTGGCGAGGATGACAGTAGCAAAGACGGGAAAGCCATTGGCCATGTTCAAGGACCCGTCGTAGTTGTTGTGGTAAACTCCTGTCAGCTCCTGACAGGAAACAGGAAAAAAAAAAAGATACAGATTTAAAATTAGCTTTTTGAAATCAGGTGCAAACCAATTTTTGGTTTGTTTGATGGACGGCCAATTAAAACTAAGGACTCACAATCTCGTCTCCGGGTTTGCAGCTGTCCACCAGATCAGCCAGAAGGATGGCATCTTTGGAGCGTGGGAGTCGACCTGCAGCCACTTTTCCAGGACTTTCCTGGATTGTGATCCTTTGGTAGTTCTGATAAACGGTCTACAGCAGAGGAACATGGTTCTGTTTAATAACGGAGAAAACTGAGGACCGTTAACAGTTTAAAGTTTAAATAAAAAGGCAAACTTTCCTTCAAATGACATGTCCATTGTCACATAACAAACGTTGTTGGTTATGCTAACTCCATTTACTAAGCAGATAATTAGAGGCTTTCACTAAATGTCAGTTTTTTTAATCAAATGTTAACATCCTGTTCCTGAAGACAGATTTAAGACCTGAGTTTAGACTTGAAATCCTAAAGAAGAACACAACAATATTCACATGGCATAAAGTCAACAATCAGTCATTAATAATTTGAGCCCCACCTCCTCCATGTTTATCTCAAAAGGTCCCTGGGACTGACATTCCGGACAGGAGCCAGGCTTCACTTCCTGGTTCTGGGACTGGAAGTATGGTCCCAGGACAAAATTACACTTGTTACAGTTGTACTTGATCATTCCAAGCTGAGGGAGGACACCAGTGCAGCTGCTGACCACACCGCTTGTCCGGATCAACTGGTTCAGGTGCAGCTGCCTGAAGGAGCAGGATCAGAACAGAGGAGGAGTTCAGTCACTCATCTTTTAGAAGACTGTGCAGTTCTTTAACAAAAACTCCCCCAAACCTCACAGAAAAAAACAGTGATTTTTTTTTCTCTAAAGAGACTCAGCAGTTGTTGATCCACTGCTGCCTCATCACTTGTTGTAATCAGTTTCTCTTTGACCTTACTGCTTTGTTCTGATTTTCCTCAGTGACAAACTGTCAACAGGGGGCAGCAGCAGACCAGTAGCTACTGTGTTCCTGTAAGCTAAAACCACGTTATTTTCTTCACAGAGAATTATCCATCAAAGGGCTGCCCTCTACAGGATATCCTAGCACTGACCTGAGTGAGCGGATCTCCTCCACTAGGGGCAAGTTGCTGATGCGGACATGGATCTCATGGACAATCCGATCATATTTTGGGAACATAGCCAAAACTACTTCTTTAGCTGCTTCATCAAAGATCTAACGAGAGACAAACAAACTCTTTATCCCATGATCCTGACTCAGCCGGTATCAACAGATCTGCCGTTTACAGACCTTTAGCATCTCAGTGGGAGACTCAGGAAGGAAGTAGGCCAAGACATGTTCTCGGGCTGCCAGATCTTCATAGTTCACCACTAAACTCTCCTTATTCTCTGTAGGAGTTCCACAAACAACTGTTAAAGGTGCGGGAGCTAAGGTGGATTTTTTTTTGATAAAACTAAAGACACCTATGTTGGCTACCTTTGCACATGTCGCTAATCTTCTCCTTAAAGACGTTGTGTCCATTCTGGTCCACATGGGTCCTCAAGAAGTTTTTAAAACGGTTGTAGATTTCTAGTCTGGGAGCAGCCATGGAGACCCACTCCCTCACTGTGTGGCCCTGAAAAAAAAATGGACAGAGAGTGCTAAAAGCTAGCAAATAAAAGAAAACAGTAGCATCAAAAACACCCACAAACTTCACATAAAATATTGAGCTGATTTATATTTAGACAGACTTCAGATTAGACTAGGAAGAGCTAGCACAGAATAACATTAACACAAACCAGTGACCAGATTAAACTAGGCCCAATAATATATCGGGCAATTTAACCAGAAGCGGTTTAAAGTGGTTTCAAATGGTGCACTCTTTATGACACATTTTAAGCTTTAACCATGTGTGGCAAACTTTAAACATTGTTACCATTTATTTTGTACAAATAAACCTTTTAAGTTTTAGCTTAAAACTTAAGCTAGTTTTGGCTCAGGTTTAATCAAGATTTAGTAACCAACACCCTGAAACCATTTCTGATGAGAAACATCAAGTTTTATTAGCTTAAGCAAAAATGTTGTTGTTATTTTGTTGTTGTGTCACCACAGTGGTACTGATGCTGGAACCAACCTTCATGTCCTCCAGGTTCTCAATGCTCTCAATCATCTCTTCATCATCTCCTTCCACACCCTCTGCTGCTCGCTCTGCCAACCGTCGTCTACGGGCTGCTGGACGCTCGTCCTCGTCTTCACTGTCTGGAAAAAAGGAAAAAAAAGGAAACTTATTATTTCACATCAATTTCAACTTTTGACCCTGACCCATAACCCAAGCTCCACACTGTCCTCACCGTAGAGCAGTCCTCTTCTCAGTCTTCCACTGACTCCCTGCTCCCTGTCTCTCCTCCTCATCTCCTCCTCGGCCATAGCTCGAGCTGTGGGCGACAGCTCCGACAGGTCCTCTTCATCTAGGTCCAAACCCTCAGCCTCATATTGGTCTAGGGCCGGGATTGGTCGGTAGTCCCTGGGGAGGGCAAGACAACACAAGGATGAAAGACAGTTTCTCAAACTTAGTCAGAGTTAAATTTAAGTTTGTATTATTAACCACTAACACTAATGATATCATCAAATCAGATAAAAACATGAATGCTGTATTGGAAACACACCTCTCCATTCCGTCTCCAATCAGCTCTTCCCCATCTTCCTCCTCCTCAGCCAGATGTCCATCTCCCAGAAGCCCCTCTGACTCATCCTCAAAGGGTGGAAGGTCTCGACCAGGACTGGATGTCAGATCTCCTCTCCTGGAGACGTGATTCGGGCTGGTGGCCTGGAAGGACTCTGAAGAATCCTGAATATCAAAAATGCATTTATTTCTTTATTTTATTTTATTTCTAAAACATGACTTTCTACACTTTTCTACACTGACTTTTTTGTTAAACCAAATAAAATCAATATTTACACATATGTGAAACAGAAAATATTTATTACATTTCTATATAGTAGAAATACTAACAATTATAAAATAAACAATTGAGTTTGAATTAATATAGGACTTAAAAGGATAAGAACACTGTTTAAAAACTGGACCAGTTTTTCTGTTCTGTGACTTCAAAAGGAATTTTACATTTTTAGACCCTTACTGAACCTCAATAAACGTCCCAGCATTTTTCATAAATGACAAAACTAGATGATATTGTCCATGTCCGTCTTTGAATACACGAAATAAAAGACGTTCACTGATAATTAAAACAGCAACGCGTGATGATACTCTTCGTTCTCTGTAACAACTTGACATTGTTTAAGAAAAATTAAAAACTTTATATTATCGATTTAAAGATTACTCACTGCCATGTTTTCGTTTTCGTTCTTGCTGCAGCTGCTGTGTCTGTTTCTGTTGCTCTGAAACTCTCTTCTTCCGCAGCCTCCTTTCGCGGGGAAAATACCACGTGGTACATAAAGCCCGCGAAAAATGTTCAATAATCATCAAGTACTCAGACGTTGTGAGTTGTGATTGGCAGAATTGTCCTCATAGAGGTGGAGTTACAAAAATAGGGCGGGATCTATACGTTTGTGCCAGCAAAGAGCGACGAGCATTAACTCTGACTCTGACTTTAAACGTCATTATAGGCTTTCAACAGCTTCCCTTTTCCGGAAAAAGGCAGCTTGTGGCGGAAATACGTCCGCAGTAGACGGCAATTCTAAATACTGTATTACGATAAACTAACATATAAATACTGCATACTGCTGGAAAAGAAACACAAATAAGCATGTTGTTGTTTGTATTTCTCAACTGTTTATTTGTGTTTAGTCAAAATGATGAAATTATTAATATGGGAAAATGTAAAGAGAAATATACAAGAGTATATTAGATTCAAAATCTTATTTAATTGTTATTAAAATATGATATTGTTATCTTTAATTGGTTCCAACTTTTGACTTATTTTGTTTCAACATTTACTATTTTCTGCAAAAAATATTCTCATGGGAGTACAACTTCCTCTAACAGATTATTGTGTGGTTGCTGATCAAACATTTTAAAAGAGACAATGTTCATCCAGTTGCTGCTGACTTTTATTTTCAGGTATATCATCATCATCTCTCTGGTCATTGTTGTTTTCCATTAAAATAAAAAAAAGAAGCAGAAACCAGTTTTTAATGATTTTAATGATAAATAACAATTATGCTGGTTATGTTTTTGAATTCTTCTCTCCAATCTGATTTGGCTTTGTCTCTTTGAATAAAGGTCAGTAGAACTAGAATGCTGTTGTCTTTCTTAAATTTGATTTCATGTACTAAATTTGTAATTTTATTTTATCATAGAATTCTCTTAAAGCTGAGGAAGGAAATATTTGATTCCAACGTTTGTTTCTGGATCAGAAAACATGGAAATTTGACTTATCTTGAAATTTGACTTGGAAACTTGATACCTTTTGAAGCAAACAAATGTTCTGAAAAGAAAATGTTTTTAAAAACCATAAAAAAAAAAGAAAAGATAAAATCAGGAGACACGGGAAGTTTTCCTTGTTTTATGATGACACAGTAGTAAAAACCAAACAGCTTTCAGGTTTTTCTGGTGCAATCTTCCTGGTGCATTACATAACAAGAACATGAAATGGGGAACCAGGAACATGGTCATCACCCCACTTCACTATCAGCTGATAAGTTCCAGCCTTTCTCAGAATGTAACTGACATCATACTGCAAGTCTCCTAGATGTTTGACCAGAACCTCCTCACAGGAAACCTGAGGTCCATGGAAACCAACCAGCAGAACATTTGTACCTGAGTAGAAGCAGGAATGACTGGTTGGAGAATTTGCGGGAACCTGGTGGCCAACCCAACCCAAACAG